TGGCGTTCTACAACGGAATTCTCAGAATGAAAAAGGTAAAAAATTTATATCCATAGTTCTTCTTATTCATTTATAACCGTTGTGGGTTTATGCGTCTGAAGTTTTTATATAATCGTGTTCAGTCAATATCTATTGTGTATTCCCCGTGCATTTGATGTGCCGTCAGTGTGCGCTAAATATATACCGTTAACTGTCGCAACGACGAAGCAGTAGGTATTGTGTATTGAGGGAATATACTAATACAAACGTGATATATTGATTTTATATTATATCAGAAATGTAACAATGTGTAAGGGTTTATTTTTATTCGCAAGTTATTTTTTTATCCCAGAACCGGCGTCCGTGCAAGGTGACACTCGCTGACATATGTGGGATGTAATAAAACACTAACCCCCAATTTTATTTAAGTAGTAATTAGATGAAGTATCTTTGTTTAATTTATTAGTTATAAAAGAAGAGATCATTTTTTTTTAAATTTATAAAATGCGTAGAATTTAAAACTTGCTGTACCTGTTTGTACTTTATAATAAGGACACGGAGATGAATATAAGATTCGGTTTGTTTTTAAATCCATTATATCAGTATTGTATATACTCATGTTGTACTTAAAATAATGTTTAAACCAATAAGGACATATAATGTATGGCTACACATTTGATTTTTTTTATTTTGGATGACAACATTCCATTGTATTAATGATCTTAGAAACAGTAAATTCTTTAGTTCTGTATGTGCAGGACCTTTGTCAAAAATGAATATTTATAAAAAAATTAGATTTTGTTTAAATTTAAAAAGCTTCAATATAAGACATGGCACTTCCTATATTAATATTTTTATACATTTTCATGTGGACGTATCATGCCGTCGCCCCTGTCAATACGTCTGTCCACACGTCTGTCCACAATTTGTTTGTGGACACGCTACAGGTCACAATTTTTATCTGATTTTGACGAAATTTAAAATATATATAGGTCTATCTCCCATAGATCTTGGTTCTTTTTGATACTGGCATGTATCTGACCATAACTTCATGGATTATGGCCCCTGATTGTACAAGAAATCACGTTTTTAGTTTGTGGACACGCTAGAGGTCACAATTTTCACCCGATTTAGATGAAACTTGAAATGCTTGTTTATAATCCAAAGATCTTGGTTCCTTTCGATATTAGCGCATATCGGATCATAACTTCCAGAATTATGGCCACTGATTGTATGAAAAATCCTGTTTTTAGCTTGTGGTCCCTCTAGAGGTCACAATTATTATCCAATGTAAAAAACCTTTCGAATATATCACTGTTACACTGTAATTATGGTTGAGTTCGAATTTTTTGAAAATCAGACCAAAACTGCTGGACAAAATGGCTGCCCCTTGTACGCAAATAGTGTAAACATCTGGTATATCAAGCTTGTGGACCCTCTAGAGGTCACAATTTTGATGCAATTTAGATGCATGTTTATATCCCATATCAGATCCCATATATTCGCGCACACAGGCGTACGACCCAGGGGGAGAGGGGGGGCAGCTGCCCCCCTAACTTTCGGGCAAGCTGACTTTTCGGCCAGACGGGTAAACGGGAAAAAAAAAAATTATTTCATCTACTTGGCAAAATAAAGTGCTCGAAATCTAATAAAACACTAATTTTACGGGCTGGAATAGCAGTTAATCGCGTTTGCGGCCGTTTCTTCGCCTCTCGAAGAAAACCGGTGTGTCTGTAAACCTGAAATTTTTTCGGGCATTTCTAGTTTTGCTTCCCTAACTGTCATCGAGCCCTAATAAAACACTAATTTTACTTTTCTTTTAATTGAATACCACGAATTTGTACTGAGTTCACTATGGATTAAAACATTTTGTCTGGAGCCACTCTACTTTGTGCAACATTTTTCGGGCATCGATTATTGGATACTTTTGGAGTTGCTTACATGGGCTAGAATAGCAGAAAACACATTTACGGTGCTTAAATTTTCAAAATTTTCTCCGGGAGGGAGAGACCCCCAACCCCGCGACGATTGATTGGTTGTTTGGAATTCGGGTCAACCTGGGCCCGATTCCTAGAAAATTCTTAAGCACGTTCTTGTGCTTAGATTTGAGTAGACTTTGCTTTTAAGTAAACTTACCTTTTTTTTGTGTTCCCAGAAAATTCTTAAGAACGTTCTTGTGCTTAGATTTTAAGTAGACTTCATTGTAAGCACAAGAACGTTATTATGCGTTCCAAGAAAAAACGTAAGCACAACTTCGTTCTTAAACATAGCCAATCTAAGCACAAGTCCAAAGCAAGGTATACGGCTTGCTTACCAACCTTAAGTCTGTTTCTGCTTCGAAAAGATGGCTGACTGTAGAATTATTCAACGGCATTTCCGACACCAAAGAGACAATTACAAGACAGTGAAAATCCAAATTTCAAATTAAGAATGCTATAGAAAATTTCGCTTCTAGGCCTACCCTGAAACCATTTTATTTATTTGCCAATTAGTAAACAATAGGCTACAAACACACAGGCTACTTTGAGATCAGGTGCTCTCACAATTATTCAGTTAGTTTGTATGTGTCTGCATTTTTTATCTTGTGGCACATTTTATATGTGAATAGGGGACATGTCAAATGCATCGAAATGAACCATATTATATATGACGTCAATGAAGCAGACGACAAATTTACGACGTAATTCGCATACCAAAGTTGTTTTTATGACGTTAAAGAGCATCGTAGTCTCAGTTTATGGTAAACATTACCAGTCACAATGTGCTTAGACTTATACTTGACTTGGGCTTTCGTAAGAATGGTCTTAAGAATTTTCTAGGGACGGTATTTTTATAATTTTCTTGTCTATTAAAATGGGTTCGTCTGTCTGTCTGTCTTGTGTTGTCCGTCCGTCCGTCCGTCACACTTTTTGGGACACAATAACTCTTCTTCTAATGTTGGTGTAGCTGTTTATTAGGTCAATGCCTTGATGGAGTTCGATGATGACCATTTTCTGCTTAGGGTAATCAGAGATGAGCAATTTGATTGGTTGATGCTTTGGGACACGATAACTTTAGTTCTAATTAAGTGAGTGATAAAACTTGGTGTATAGTTTCATTACATCAATACCTTGACTAAGGTCGATAATGAGCATTCTCTGCTCGGGGTAAGCAGAGCGATAAGAAATTTGATTGGCCGAGACTTTGGAACTCAATAACTCTCTTTCTAATTGAGGTAGAATGTTCAAACTTGGTGTAGTTGTTAATTAGGTCAATGCCTTGATGGAGGTCGAAGATGAGCATTTTCTGCTTAGGGTAAGCAGAGAAAGCAATTTAATTGGTTGATGCTTGTGGACATGATAACTTTAGTTCTGATTAAGTGAGAGTGAGGACACTTGGTGTATGGTTTTATTACATCAATACCTTCACTAAGTCCGATAATGAGCATTTTCTGCTCAGGGTAAGCAGAGCAATAAACAGTTTGATTGGTCTAGACTTTGGAACACAATAACTCTCATTCTAATTGAGCTAGAATCATAGCCCCCCCATTTTGGGCACCAAATGCTGGGAAAATTTGGGCACACAATTGTACTTTGTAAAAGTTGTATAAAAAAAATATTGTCTTCTTGAATGTGTCCAATTTAACAGCGAATTGATTATTATTATGTAACATACTAAGAACCTAACTACATTTTTTGGGCACCAACCACCACCGCCCCCCCCCCCCCCCCCCCAGTCAAAAATTTCCCCGTACGCCTATGGCTAGAATGTTCACGCTTGGCGTAAGTGTTCATTACGTGAATACCTTGATAGAGTTCGATGACAAACATCGTCTGCTTACTGCAAGCAGAGCTAAGCAATCTGATTGGTTGATGGTTTGGGGTACGATAACTTTGGCTGTAATTAAGTGAGAGTGATGAAACTCTTGAGTATAGATTCATCATATCATTACCTTGACTAAGTTCGATATATGATGAGAATTTCTGCTTAGGCTAAGGAGCAATTAACAATTTCATTGGTCTGCTTTTAATTGAGGTAGAATGTTTAAACTTGATGTAGATGTTTATTAGGTGAATGTCTTAACTGAGTTCAATGATTAACATTTCGAGCTAAAGCTAAGCAATTTCATTGGTCGATGCTTTGGGACAAGATAACTTTGATTCTATCTGATAGAGAGTGATGAAACTTAGTATATAGTTGATAATAAGTTTGATTGCTTGATACTTTTGAAAAAAATAAATGTGCGATTAATTACTATGTGTCATCTATTTATTTTGGGATTTCGGCGGGGGACATAAGCCTCACTGTTGGCTTGTAATTTTTTTTCTACTTCTTTTTCAAAATCTATTACATTTATTAAAAAAAGAAAATCCTTTTTGATTTTAAACCTTAATAAAAAAATTTAAAAAAAAGAAAAAGAAATTCTTACAAGGATGCTGTTTTCTGTTTTATGAAAACTAATTACTCTGTACTCTAGCAATCATTTAAGAACCAGTCTTAAATAGCCAAGAAAAAAACAAAGGTCATACATTATTTACCTGACATATGTGTGCAAAACAGGTTAGTGCAGGCTTGTCATTAATAGAGATTAGACTACAATGTGTAAACTGTTTAATCAAGTTTAAAGAGATCAAGAAGGAAGATTTAACACTGGTCAGTCTTCACTTCAATTATGATTGTTGATCACTCCTCTGTGGTCAGTTTTAGACTAAACAGACATGTTGACCTGGTCAGTTTTAAGAGACTTATGACCTGTCATAACATAGTCTGGTGATGTCTTTATTTGGAAATTAGAATGTCTTTGATGTTAATCTGGACAATGGCTATTATTATCATTGACAGCTAGATTTTATGTAATAATTATAATAAATGGTGATCTATGGTGTTTAAGTTGACCAGTTTGGATTTTACCAGAGAAGACTGGTTTTATGAATTATCAAGAATTTTTGTTGTTGACATTGTAAACTATAATGTTGAAAGGGCAGGACCTCTTTGATTTTGGCCCAAAATGCATGGTATGGATTTGATTGAAAATGATGTGTTCATTTGTTTGTGCATTAAAATATTTACATGCATAGATTAAACCAATATGGAATAAGAATTAATTTGTGAAGAAACTAAACTGTAAGTAGTCAATGGACAGATTTCTTTCAGTTCTACTAAACAAATCGGAATAGCTTGTCTGATCAATTCAATTTATCATTTGACTGAAACCTGAAGCAAAAAGGTCCTTTAACATGACAATGCTATCCTGGCAAAATTTTCCTCCCTAGCGCACATGTGACCATAGAAAAATTAACCATATGTCAGTCAGACCATGACTGAAGTATTGTTCTGACAAGACCTTAAACTTAAAGATACATTATGGGAGATTAGTTAAACAGCTAGCAGTTCTCACTACAATAGTTGAAAACTAGATAATGTAAAGGGAATTTGCTGAAAATTTCAGTCAAATTGATCCACTCTGAACCGTAATTTTAGCGATTGAATTTTCGGCCTAGCCTCGATCATCATTACTAAAGTCGGTACGATAAAAAACATAGTCTCGATTATCCATTTCATGATTAAATCATGAATGGAAGTCGAACAGCAAATCAGAACCTAATCCAATAAACATCGCAGGCTAGCGATGACATCGAGAGTTGATTATGGTCTGGATAAGTTAATTAATAATTTAGATAACATTTCAGGCCTAAAGAAAGACCTTGAATTGGCAGATTTAGTTCTTGCATAATGTATGTTTAAACATGTAAACACCTTTCCTATCATTTATGTCCAGGAAATGAATGCTTGCTCATTCCAGAACTCCAGATAAGATAGACATCATCAATAGAGAATAAACATAAACTTAATTATAAGTTTAAGTCTGGATTTGAACGAAGTAATAACATGTCAGTAATTTGATATCTAATTGTGTGGATCAATTTTCTGCTAATTCCATATTGTTTGACAAAGTGTGGTGGACTGATTTAGATCTACAATTCCTGAAAATTTTAACTGTCTATATAAGACTTCAAATAACAAAGCATTAAAATGTAACGTAGAGAGGTATTTTTACTGGGGGCTTTTCAACAGTGTTAATGTGACCAATGTTCAATCATCTCAACAACTCATACCACTACTCATTTTAGGGGATGTTGACTTAGCGAAGTGTTTTTGTTTTTTTTTCTACTTTTCGATGTCACTATTCGCTTAAAGGATTACCTGTTTACTGAAAAACTGGAAGATTGATTTACTGTACATCGTTTTTTTTGTACCCCGTTTTAAATTATTCTATTATAAGGAAAAAAGAATTACCTTGAAAACCCTTTTGGAGTTAAATTTGTTTCCTATAATATTTTAATTTCCTTTTTAGTGAATTGCTTTAACTTATTCTCTCAAAATGACAAACCCTTGAGAAACACTTAATAATAGTTGTGTTAAGATTGGTGCAACATGGTAGAAGTTTAAAGATAAATTAAAATGAAGGATAGTTATATAAAGGAAAGTTTTGGTGTAATGGTGCTACACTATAACTATATATTGACACATTGTATTAGTCAGGTCCATTAGTATATTTACACACTAAATCTAAGTTAATGATTTAATCCAACTATTTCTTACAGACGTGTTAGGTGGTACACAAGTCAAAATGGATACCAGTTTGGCAAGAGTAAACGACAGGCGTTTAACCACAGGTTAATGAAACTTGCCGCTAACACCTGCAACATGGATGTGTTATATGAAGGAGACGAGACAGTAACACTGTCAGAAATCTTGTCGCTGCGAGATGCTTATTTGAACGAGGAGGAGCTATGGGCTCTGTGTCGGGAATGTTGTTTGACTTTAGAATATGTGAGAAATTCTCAAGATATGTTTCAATCATTATGCATCACACCAGAAACAGTTGCTTTTGACCAGAGTGGTAACGTCTGCTTTTTGGATTTAGAAGAAGGTAAGTTTTACTTATAATATATGGTTAAAATGATTGGCAGAGAAGATTTAAGTGAACGAAATGATTTGAATAAGTTCAGTCTGATATAATGCATCAGGCAGGGTATGCTTATTCTTTTAAGACCACCTGATGCCAGATATCAGAGAAGATTTAAATGAACGAAATGATTTGAATAAGTTCAGACAGATGTCATGCACCAGGCAGGGTATGCTCATTTTTAAAAGACCATCTGATGCCAGATAGCTAAAATTTATTATTGTATTTGGATAGTATCGTTTTCAAAAATTTCACCAATAGTCTCCCACAATCAAATCAACAAATAGACCAGCAATATTTTGCATATGAAAGATATAGAAAAGAATTTGACCAGTTTAATTTGTTTAAGACCTAAATATCTTCTGTTCATTGATTGTAAATCTGAGTGCCATATGACACACTATAAACAGATTATGTATATAAGATCATATTAAAACTATTTTTATGAGGGAATAATATCATATGTCTTTGAAATAGGTTCTAGGTATTATAATATATCCTGTTTGACCTTGTATTGATCTATATAAGTATAATATGTATATTAGATTTGATATACAGGTATTATCTCTGAACTGGTCACACAGTTCGATCTTCAATGAGTTGTGTTGAAATTAAGTTGTGGTGAGATTTTACTAACCTGCCCAGTTTTTTTAAAGCTGTATTTGGTATTTGAAATCTTACCTGCATGAACTTACTAAGGCAATAATAGGAAGTATAGGGGGACCATACCACACATAGCAATTAAATATAAACTTAGAATATAAACACATATACAAGACAAAAACACAGACATTGTAATTCACAAAATAGGTTAAACACATATACAAGACAAAAACACAGACATTGTAATTCACAAAATAGGTTAAAAGTTAATGTGAAGATGCTATAATTTAGTAGTCTGTGTATGAGGTTACATCTATGAATATTAATAGAAAGCAATAAGATAGAAATGGTTTTTAAAGTCCTATTGTTTTGCACTGGCATGCTAATGAAGACAGGCATATGCCATACAGTGTGCCCAGGAAACAGCGCTACTCGAATATCAACTGTCAAGGGTTCTTTTACGTGCATGCTAATGCTATACAGGACCTCAGATTTTTGTCCAATTTGGATGACTATATGTTGTCCCTTGCCAGACCCTCTGTCCTGCACCACTGACAAGGGGGAACCACGCAGGAAAGTATTGATGAACTTTCTCAGCCAACATCAGGATCGAACATGGGACCTCCAGGTTAGCGACCCAACTTCTTACTCACTGAGCCACTGAGGGCCCCTTATGAAATGAAATGAATTGGGGTTTAACGTCCTACTGTTATGCTTCGACAGGGCTTATGAAGATGGGGGGGGGGGCATCCTATGAATATTAAAGTGTGATATATTAGATACATGTATATAATGTAGGTATATTTATAAAACAGGTGATAACAGGTGCAGTATTAGATATTGTTTTTTTGTTTGGTATTTATGTATTAATCAATTTACTACAAAGAGTTGAAACCCCATTACGATATGTGTAAGATATTATGAATAACCTGACCCATGAACATGTACACATTGTAATTGAAAATAATTAGAATTCCTGCCTTGTAGTTCAGCAATTAGTTCATTGAAGGTTATTGAATAACTGAAAGGTATCTTTAATTGTTTGAAGATTAGGTGTCAAAATGAAGGGCATGTTTGTACTTTAAACACTTTTTGATCATCACATTCTCAAATCATCCCAGTTTATGTCATTTGAAGAAATAACCTGTTAAATGGTTTATAACAGCAATAAATATTCACCTGGTAATTAGTTATATTGTTTTATTGATATTTTATTCTTCCTGACAAAAGCAGGGCTATTCAATACTTATATTGTACCCCTGTTATAATTAATGTGGTTTAGATTAGGTTGTTCATATCCACTATTGGATACTGGTTCATAGCTTTGTTCCTACAAATATTTGAAGTTTTTCTAGGTTGTTCGTACCTATATGATGGTATTCACTATTGTATAGTGTAATAATTAATTTGGGTTAGATTGGGCCATAGCCTAGGATTCCTATAAGTACCATATTCAAAAAGATTTTGTAGATTGTTTGTACCAATTTTTTGTTATTTATTATTGAATGCTAATTAAAACTAATGGAAGTTGATTGTTTTTATATGCCCACTTTTTCATGTGGACCTATATTATCGTCACCCCTGTCCGTCCATCCACAATTTGTTTGTGGACATTCTACAGATCACAATTCTTAGCCGATTTTGACGAAACTTGAAATATAGGTTTATCTCCAAAAGATCTTTGTTTCTGTCGATATTGGCATGTATCGGATCAAAACTTCATGGATTATGGCCCCTGATTGTATGAAAAATCACATTTTTAGCTTTTGGACATCCTAGAGGTCACAATTTCATCTGATTTTGTTCATAACCCAAAAATCTTGTTTCCTTTTGATATTTGTGCGTATCAGATTGTAACTTCCTGAATTATGGCCCCTGATTGTATGTAAAATCGCGTTTTTATTATCAGATTTTAAAAAAACGTTTGAATATATTACCGTAATGACGTTTGAGTTCGAATTTCGTGAAAATCGGACCAAAACTGTTAGACATAATGGCCATCTTGTACGCAAATTATGTAAAGATTTGGTATATCAAGGTTGTGGACCCTCTGAAGGTCACAATTTTGATTCAGTTTTGATGAAACTTGAAATACCTGTTTATAACCCAAAGATCTTGGTTCCTGTCAATATTCGTGCATATCGGATTGTAACTTCCTGAATTATGGTCCTTGATTGTACGAAAAATAGTGTTTTTAGCTTGTGGTCTCTTTAGAGGTAACAATTTTTATCTGATTTAAAAAATCGTTTTAGTATATCACTGGTACACCCTAATGATGGTTGAGTTTGAATTTCGTGAAAATTGGATCAAAGCTGCCGGACAAAATGCCCACCCCTCGTACGCAAATGGTGTAAATATATGGTATATCAAGGTTGTCGACCCGCTAGAGGTCACAATTTTGATCCGATTTTAATGAAACTTGAAATACATGTACAGTTTACAACCCAAAGATATTGGTTCCTTTCGATATTCACGCATATCAGATCGTAACTGCCTAAATTATGGCCCTTGATTGTACGAAAAATCACATTTTTTGCTTGTGGCCCCTCTAGAGGTCACAATTTTTATCCGATTTAAAAAAATGTTTGAATATATCACCGTTACACCCTAATGATGGTTGAGTTTGAATTTCGTCAAAATCGGACTAAAATTGACGCCGGACAAAATGGATGTCCCTCTTACGCAATTTGTGTAAATATATGGTATGTCAAGGTTGTGGACCCTCTAGAGGCCACAATTTTGATCCGATTTTGATGAAACTTTAAATTTATGTTTATATCACAAAGATCTTGGTTCCTTTCGATAATCGTGCATATCCAATATTCTGGATTATGGACCCACTAAAAGTCAAAATTTGTATTCAGTTTTAAAAAAGTTTAAATATATCACCGTTACTCATCAATGAAAGATGAGTTAAAACGTCATAAAAATCAGACCAAAATTGCCAGACAAAATGGCAGACAAATAGTCTAAAAGTAAGTAATACTAAGGTTGTGGACCCCCTAGAAGTCCGACTTTGATGAAACTTGAAATGTAAGATTATAATACTAAGTTTGTGGACCCTCTAGAAGTCGCACTTTTTATCTGATTTTGATGAAACTTGAAATGTAAGTAAAACTAAGGTTGTGGACCCTCTGGAAGTCCGACTTTGATGAAACTTGAAATGTAAGATTATAATACTAAGTTTGTGGACCCTCTAGAAGTCACACTTTTTATCTGATTTTGATGAAACTTGAAATGTAAGATTATAACCCAACGATCTTGGTTCCTGTCGATATTTGCGCATATCGGACCTTAACTTCCTGGATTATGGCCCCTGATTGTACAGAAAATCGCTTTTATTTTTAGCTTGTTCTCTATCCATCTCTTGCAAAATGTGGGTGGATCCTGCCTGGCAGCTGCTGGTTTGTCTTGTAATTGAAATTAGTAATATTCATACAAAATTAAAAAATAATTAAACAAATATGGAAAATATCTTGATGTACTATTTCCATAAATACAAAAATGCAACAAAAATTATCAAAATATTGATTGTTGTAATTATTTTGAATAATTGAATAGCGTTTGAATACTGATTTAGACTATTCGAATAGTAAAGTCAGCATTCTTTGTGAACATTTCTGTAGCCTCAGATAATTATGAATTTTACCAAGACTACTAGTATTAAATCTGTTCCAATTCGTTAAACCTGTCTATCTATGAAATAAATCAATAAATAGGCAAAAGGAGATTTACTTTGTAAACCACATTGATCATCTTTATATAGTTTATTCAGAAGCTTTACTCATTTGATTATGCTTCTCTGATTTTTTTTTTCTCCATTTGTTTACAAGTGGTTGGTATGGGGATGACATGCTCCCATATAACTGCTACTGTTAAACATTTAAGTGACATATATATTATTAATTGATTTATATACATGTACATGTACAGAGATAAGAGTTTGTTAAAATCGATCATTGGCTTATTGCAGCCTGTTAATTATTGATTCAGAATCCCATGACATGCATTTTTTTGCACGTATAATTACAAATTGGTGAGAGTGCCTCTTTCAACTCTCAGATCTACCCTAATCAAATATCTGTCAATATACGCTGTATCAACTGCAGTTTAATGGTAAACAACATTCTCAATAAATTGCTTTTTTTCCGGGGTGCATTTAAATTATACTTCAGGGTGCATTTGAATTATACTTGGATATTAATGTGCATGTAGAATGGTTAACCCAGGAAGTAAGAGAGGTTATTTATTTGACATTAAGATTTAGGACTGATTAATTGTCACATGCTGAGGCCACTTCAAGTCACTGAACACTCTGTGGTGGTTGAATAGTTTGATGAAGTCTTTTTTTCAAACATTGT